TATTCTTATCAGTATTATTGATGTCATCACTACTTATATCCTTCTTAAAATTATTATCATTATATTATTGTTGCTGGCATTATCACTATTATTATTATCATCATTGTTATTATTATTACTATTATTATTGTTATTATTATAACAGTATTGCTACCATTATAAATACTATCAGACTGCCAATATTATTACTAATGTTGCCAATAATATTACTAATATCATCATCAACATTGTTATTAATGTTTACCTTTTAGTTAATATTATCGTTACTATCAATATTATTTCTTATAAATAATATCATTAATATTATTGGAATCGTTCCTTATACTTATTTTTAACATTAATTGTCAACAGATAACGAATAAGAAATATTTTTTCATTCCAGTTTTATGCAAAGTTGCAGAGAAGGAAAGCCAAAATGCACCTTTTTCACAGATCTCTTTTCAAAAAAAAAAAGATACCTGGTTATAAACTAATGATTTTTTCTAACAGTATTCATATATACAAGATTTCTTCTCATGATAACAGAATGATTATTGGTTATAACTATAACAAAAAGAACCAATAAATGCGATAATATCAAATAAGTGAACTTTTAAACACAAGTTGAGAGGAAGAAAAGGATCAAAAGGCAGAAATCAAAAAAAAGTACTTTTAAAAAACCCTCAAACCCTTTTTTCATGAAAATCCTTAATTTCTCTCAAACGCACGCACCGCAACATCTATTTAATTTTTTATTTTTCGATTTTACTTAAAAAAAATTTCATTTGAAATTCGAACAATTTAAACCGAATCAAATTTTTATGTTCAACCTCTTTGTTTTTCGATTTTTTTCCGAAATCCAATTTCTTAAAAAAAAACGAACTAAATTCCCCAAAGAAGTAGGTTTGGTTACAGTGAATTACTGCCGAAGGATAAAAAATCTAATTTGTCACTCATAAAGGCATAAAAAATCTAATTTGTCACTCACAGCTGCTATTTTCATTCATTCATCCCATATCCCAGCAATATGAACTTTGCATGATTTTTCAGTGTTTTTTGCGGAGTTTTCAAAAAAAAAGATTAAATTTTTGATTTTCTTTTTTCCTCTGTACGACCAAAAAAGGCGCGCTTTATCAACTCCACAAATATGATAGTAAAATTTGACCAGTGAATTACTAGTGAACAAGAATCACTTTTTTAGAAAGAAAATCCTCACAAGAGTGGCTTTCTTAAGGGTAGTTTTTCTCAATTTTTGAGAGAAATTTTTGACAAAAACAACATGAGCAGAACTTGTCCAAGGCACCCAAAAAATTAGCTTAAAAAATTTGCCTTACACAGATATGCTGATGCTTTTGCCGATCATTGGCTGAAGCATAAATGCAAAGATAACATGTGCAAAAACATGAGGTTAGTAGCAAGAACAGAAAAGAAATTCAAAAAAAAAGAAGCGGCATAAAAGTTAACTTTTAACGGTGACATTCCTCGGTGCACTGAACACCGGCATCTCTGTCCTTTGCTTCCCGACATCAATTCTCCATCTTACTCTGCAATAAAAAGTTATAATAGGAAAGAATGGTAAAAAAGAGAAAAAAAAAAGGAAGGTGGAAAACGAAAATCAGAAAATTTGTACGACTATAATGGTAAAAAGTGGCTCGGTCCACTAAGTCGTACACATTTCTTACCGTTACCACAACTGAACCTCGTCAGTACGACGACTGTGGTAATTGAAGTTAGTGAAAGTTAGGGTCAAATTAATTGTGTAATATGCAAAATTCACCAAATACATTTCCAAGAACCATATTGAGGATGGTTCCGTTGCGGCGGCGAACGATTTAGAATTTCCACTTTTAATCATTCAGTTTTCAGTTACATAACAGTCTCGTGATGGTGCACACACACACACCGACAAGCGGTAGGTATTAACTGGAAAATAGAAACTTAGAATCAAAGGGCTTGGCAAAGCTGCACCCAACGTGAGGAAGCAAGGCACCGCGACATCATCATTAGCATAGGATCCCCCCATCGACTGCCCGGATAAGTCTGATATTTTTAGGCATTTTGTGCTATGCAACAGCTGTTGTCACGGGTTTGTCTGTGTGTTTGTGTGTGTGTGTCCGCAGCAAATTATTTCTTAATAAAACGACTGTTATTGGCAAAATGTTAAAATACGGGTTATTTTTAAGTTTCTCCACCTCTCAAAAATAAAAATGGCGAAGGACTAAAAAAGATTAAGCGATTCATCGTTTGGCTTTTAAAGACTGATTGCTGATAACAAAAAACGAAAAACAAGAAAATACCCCAGATCAAAATACTTCGAATCTTCAGGAAAGAAGGGAAGACAAAACTGTTTTCGGAAAAAGTTGGAAAACCATAGAGCATCACACAAAGTACTGCTTTCACAAAACATTTCATTTTAGCGGAAAAC